CTATGGCTGCTTGGGCCGAGCCCGGACTGATTCTTCACCGCAAGGGTCTGAGTGTCATGTCAAAGGGCTTAGCTAGCCTTGATCTGTTAGTCTGGCAGCAGCAGCCAAAATTGAGGCCAAGGCTAGGGCTCAGAAGAAGGCTTCTAGAGCCAAGGCAGCCAGTCAGAGCAAAAAAGCCTTAGAGTAATTGCGAAGGTCAGTAAACAATCGGTTAGTTCTAAAGGTACTAAAACGAAGCCATCAGAGGCTTCTCTGTTAGGGGTTGGTATGGACAAGTTTGGTCCTTCCAAACAAATAGGATCACGCCCTCCACTTAAGATTTGGTCACCGGAGACTCTTAGTGAGCAAGGGGAGAATGTAGATCTGACTATACCATCTGATCCTTCTACTTCTCGAGATTGTTTAAGACCATCTCAGCCCACAGGCCTTTCAACTGAGGTGGAGACCTCAGTGGACATGGAGGAGCTGGAGATGCCTGCCTATTTCAGGAATTAGGTCTTCCAGGCAACTAGGCAGGAGATGGATGTATTCCAAAAATTCAGGCGCCTCAGCCTTACAGTACAACTATATAATTGGAGATGGGGTATCCTGGGGGGGATCCCAGATATGATCAGGGGACTTGGAGTGAACCATCATCTCCTGGGCCTTCGGCTAGAAGTCCATCTCCCTTATCTGAGGGAGAAATCCCAAGGAAGGGTGAATTTCCTTAAGGAGAAAGTGAACAACCAGCTTGCCAAATTTTAAAGACCTATTTAATCCGTCTCTTTTTAAGTTCCTGCTTTCAAACGCAAAAACAATGGCCTGCCTAGGAAAGGACTCAACTGCTCCAGATTCTGCCCAAGGGTCAGTGGCAGAGGACAACTTCCTTTTCATGGAAAAGACGACAGTTGCAAACATTCCTGGGATGTTACTGGATGCAATTAAGAGGCAATGGACTGCTCTGCTCTTTCTAGGCCAACTAATTATGAAAACTCTCTATATGCAGTTGACTGACCTTTTGACTCTAGTGCAGGTTCCCAAGGTGGATGCGCCGGTGGCCGCATTGATTTCTACCTCAGTGCTGCCATCCGATGCTGAGGATACCTTGAAGGCTGAGGACAGATAGGAGGAGAGGGTTCTGCACAGAGTCCATCAGGCTGATTCCTGGGCCATCAGAGCTATGACAGCTGCTTCCTTTTTTACCAGGGCATCCTTGGGTTGGCTCTAGCAACTGCAAGGTAGGATTCCAGCAGATGATCTCTGTGCACATCAGAACATCTCAAAGATCATGACTGCAGCTTAGTTCACTGCTGATGTGCCACTGAATTCAGTTAAGTTTGCGGTTCGAGATATGGCTGCGAATGTTACGGCTCGTCATATGATCTGGTTGCAGCATTGGTGCATGGATGCTAAGCATAAGTGGAAGTTGGATTCTCCTTTTCTGGGGGAAAAACAGCTTTTTGGGGATTCCTTGTCACCTTTCCTTGTTGAGACTAAGGACAAGAGGAAAGTGCTGCCTACACATGGCAGAAGGTTGGAATTTTGTCCTTCACTGTATTTTAGACGGCAGCCCTTTTGTCAGGGCAAGGAGGGGTCTAATTTTACCCGCCAACAGTGGCCAACAGGAGCTCCAATTATAAACATGATAGATACCAATCAGATAGATCTGGATATTGGACTGGGGCCAGAAGTAGACAGCAAGCTCAGGACAGCAACCATTTCGTGGTGTTTAACTGTTTAACTGTTTATTAAATTTATAGGCCGCGCAATCCTGNATTATTATTATTATTATTATTATTATTATTATTATTATTATTATTATTATTATTGTTGTTGTTGTTGTTGTTGTTGTTGTTGTTGTTGTTGTTGTGTTGCCCAAAGGAAAAAAAATACAATGATTCATTAAGTTAATTAATTTGATTTGATCTTAATTAATTTTGCTTATTCTTTTTTTTTTCAGATGGCCATGTTATAATTTAAAATTCTTTATATGGCTAACACTTATGTTGATAATTATTTATGTGGATGATAGTTACAAAATTATTGTAACTTTTATAATTTTTACAGAGCCATATTTACAATGATTCTTATGGTGGGAAGAAGTCTTCTAGCTCTCGTAAAGATCTGTTGGTTAGTGTTCTTAATTGGGATTTGTTACAACACCTCTTAATATTTTTTACATAATGTATTCTATGTGTGCTTTATTATTTTTAACTTACCTCAGTAAAGGATACAATTAACTTAAAACCCGGGAATAATCTGTAAGTCATTATATAAATTAGAGCTGTGTGGTGATTTTGGAACCAAAGAGGAAGAATTGAGTCAATGCAAATAGGGCACCTATAGTGACTATATAGAACTTATAGAAGTTATTAATATGTATGATGCTAATGAGATGCTGAATCCTGACCTAAAGGCTTTTGGAAGCCAGGCAGTTCCTATAAAACCAGTGTAAACTTAGTGTTTTTCTTTTTCTCTAAAACCCATATTTGGTTGTAGCTACAACTTTAATTGAATTGAAAGATAAATGAATTGTACTAGATAGATGGGAAGTTCCAGGATGTAAATGATTGGTAATAACTATTTAACCAGTCCAAGTGTGTGAAGCATATAGAGTCTACAAGGTAAACCTATCTAGAGCTCCAAATCCTCTTTTGAGAAAGATGAAAATAGCAAAACTTTCAAGCTATGTGCTACCTCAGATGAAATATGATTCTATCCTAGTTCTCAAGTTGGAAACCATATAGCCACAGGTTTTCTGGTTATTAATTCTCCAACTCATTAATGTCTGGTCTTATTTTTAGTACTAGTTGTTATTTTATTTATTATGTGCTTGTCTACTTTAGTCTATAATTTTAGTTTTAATGTTAAGAACTTACATAGAATTTAGTACTAACATAATAGCAATAGCACTTATATACTGCTTCACAGTGCTTTACAGCTTCTCTAAGCGGTTTACAGAGTCAGCATATTTCCCTCAACAATCTGGATGCTCATTTTACCAACCTTGGAAGGATGGAAGTCTGAATCAACCTTGAGCCACTCAGGATCAAACTCTTGGAGTGAACAGTGAGTTAGTCTGCAGGACTGCATTCTAACTGCTGGGCACCATGGCTCTTTTAATAATTAGCAAACCTAACTTTTAGTTCTCCATGGTATCGACAGGAGAGTTCAGGATGGTTATTCCAGCCTGCTAGCTCATTGAATGAATTGAAATTCTGAAGACATGCCTCCTTGGCAACGGTCCCCAATCTTTCAATTCAGTCTCAGCTCGCAAGACTGGTTTTCTTGAGCTCTCAGCTCAGGTTTTAAAAGATTGTTGGATTGTGGTATAAATTAGTTTGACATCAATATAAGAGAACGACAGTGCATTATGCTGTGAGTTAACGCCGTAGGTGCCATTGCGGGACTCTTTAACACTAGATTTAGCGCTTTCCGCATTCTCCCCTTTGAGCTACATTTTTTTTTGCCTCAGGAAAGTTTAACGGACATTGAGGCTGCTCTTAGTTGCTCAGGAAAGACCACACTGATTAAAAGCATAGTGTGGTCTTTTTGTGTGTGGTGTGGCTGCAGTCGGAGGATTAGTAGCAGATTTCCGTGAATTGTAGTTTGCTTTTCGCTAATCTGGAAAGTGGGGTGCTAAGTATTCCACGACCAATGGCTTTTCCCGCTTCTTTTTTTGACGCGCAAACATGCCAAAGTAATAGCAATAGCAATAGCAGTAGACTTATATACCGCTTCATAGGCCTTTCAGGCCTCTCTAAGCGGTTTACAGAGAGTCAGCATNAGAAATTTTCTTTATTAAGCCTCTCAGTAGTAAATGTTTGACATTCCACCAGAGAACAATTCATATAAGGTAAAATATTTGACTAGGTTATATCTGTTATAACCTTAGTGAATTTTTGCAACAAAGCGTAAATACCCTAATATTTTTTTTAAAAAAACATTACTGAATAATTTCAGAACTTTTTAAGTTTGTGAAATTTTGTTCTTTGCATATGGTAATTGATTAAATCTGAGAAGTTATCTGTATAGAAAGATGAAACTAGTATCAATTTTCTCAAATCTTTCAGATACAATAGTAAATTTAATTTATTACATTGTGAAGTTAGCATATATGGTATATTTGTCACCGTTTCAGGATAATATGGAACAATCTTATTTAGTGGACATATAACCAAATAATCGTCACGTATATAAAAAAAGTAGGTAGAAAGTTTGAACTTTTATATGAAAACATTGTATTACCATGTAATACAATGCATTCAACTGAATCAACTCAAATTGTTTACTGTATTAATGCACTTTGGAGCTTGTAATATATTTTGAATACTAAGGTAATATTATTTGCAGTCCCTTATGAGTTTGTGTTTGAGTATCTTTTATACTCTTGTCATTTTTTTAAACAGAGTGGATTTTATCACGACCAGCGAAATTACAGCAGTCTTAGACATAGCAAAGCACTTCCTTCTTATCAGCCTCGGGTTTGTTTGGTTTTTTTGGATGAATTATTTTGCTGAATAGATTTTTTCTTCAGTAAAGCATAACAGCATGAGAATTAGCATAAATGCTTTGTTTCATTTGAGTTGAATTAACAATTGGTCAAGGATCCAGTGAAGGGTTTTTTGATCCTATATTAGTTGATGCAGCATGAATCAAGTTAGAATTAGAGCTAGGTTCAGGAATTTAGATTTCTTTTCACTTTTTGTCATGCAACTCCCTGATTTAAATTTGCCATTATGTTAACCATAAATCTAACACATTTTAGTATTATATGCAATTATTCTAAAAAGGGTTATTCTAAAAGATAGGGCCAGCATAGGCTTATGGATGACATTTTTTAAAATCAAATATCTAATGGAGTGTTTAACCTATTATTGCCAGCTTTGGACTGTGTATGCACTCTTTCTGTTCCATCATTTTATGACAATGCACTCACACTGTTCCTTACCTGCATGTTTGATGAAAAATGTGCATCATTTATACAGCATTCAGTACAATTCAATCCTTATTCTTCTCACAGTCATCATCTCTATATAATGAACCTCTGGCAACCACCAAGAATTACAGGGTTAGTAAAATGTAACATGATACTTAATGTTTAGTTATTGTAATGTTTATGTATTCTGAAATCTAAAAAAAGTACTCTGTTCTATAGGCTTCTCCAGATGTAAACACTGGTTTGATAAGAAGTACCAGTTTGGTTCGTATGTAGATCTGCATGGTGACTTTAGCCTGAGCATACTGTTTACTGACAGCTTTGTGTATCATTATCTTGTAAATATATAGCTTAAGTTTGAAAAAAATATAAGAATGGAGAACATCAGGAAACTATCTTGAGAAGAAACAAAGTATATGTAAGCACTGGGGCTCTTAAATTTGTAGAGATTTTCTTAAACAAATAAATAACAGCTGCAGTGATTAATTTAACAACTTAGTCAAAAAAGATAATAAAATGGAAATAAAACTCACTTAGCAACTGTCTCAGAAACAGAAATTTTGAGCTCAATTGTGATTGTAAGTCGAGTACTACCTGTAATCTCTGTCTGCATGCTGCTATTGCCTAGAAAAAGAAACTAAAATATTACTTTCTGTTTTTATAAGATCTGAGCTACTTATATCATTTCCCCCTACCCCATCAATATGTCTGTTTACATGTTTAAGTTGCCCTTCTTCCTTTCCGTTTCCTTGTTCTCCAGCCAATGAAACAAGACACATTATGTTGTTTAGTTGTTTATCCAATTGTATGAGAAAGTACTTACGGGCTTATTCTGTACTTTTATAGAACAACAAACACTATTTTCTCTGTTCTCTAGGCATCGTTATGTGATGATGGATTGTATAAACGGTACAGTAATCATCCTGTAAGTCTATAGGAATTTCCTTTTATATGTTTGCATGTGTATGTGAAAATAAACAGCTGAAAAAGTATTTCACAACATTTGTTTTTTAGCCTTCAGAAGATAGTTATTATTCTTCAAGAGCAAGTTCATCACGAAGTAGTCCAGTGGTGAGATGTCTCTGCATGTCTTAAACACTTCCATTTTTATGGATAACTCTGATATTAAATAGATAGAGATTACTAATATGCATTATTGATAATATAAATGTAGAGTTGTTGGCTGTCATTCTGGGAATCTCCACTTTTTCAATTATGTATTTTGAAAGAAGAATATTAATTATTCTTAGCAAGAAAAGTATAGTTGAAAGATTGTAATACTCTAAAATCATTTTAAAAATTTTATATTTAAAAATATGGAAATTTTCCATGCTTATCATATTGTATTTGTTCTGTAGCTAATAGTAAGCAGAGAGAATACAAGGTTTTCAGTTAAAGCTTCCTTTTATATTACCTTCTAATTTTATATGCCTATTGTATCAGGAACTGATGTAATACAACTTCCACTAGTACTCCATTTGATAAAAGCTCAGTTGTTCACTATTGCAAGTTAACACTGTGGATGTAATTTGGTCCTATGATAACAGATAGCTTTCTTTACACAGGGTCAGAATGGGGAAACTGATGATCAAGGATTATATTTCATGTTTTTAGAGGGAGGGAATAAGTTCAATGTTGTCAAGATTGCATGTATTTGTTTAGGATGTGGAATGTGCAAAAATAGATTCAGGGATCCAAAATTGACCATCTTTCCATAAATAGAGACTTACATTCTTTTCCTTTAGTTGGATGCAGGCTTTACACTACTTAGGTATTAGGAATGAAAGAGCTGAGAGGTTTTGTATTCTATCTAGCCAGGCAGAGTTAAAGTATATACCAAATTGATTGTTGATTATTTGTAATCTCACATAGAGTTGCCAAGTTAGAAAAAATAGCTTGAATGTAACTAAAGAAATTTTTTGAAAATGGGACTATGTAGATAGTGGTAGTTTAATTAAGCCAACTAAATCTTCTAAATAGGCAATTATTTTGCATAAATACTAGTTTGAAACATTATTAAGGTACTGAAGTGAAAATTTGCAGGTTAATTTGACTGTGAAGTCTACATCTATCACATCAGACTCTAGCATCACAAAGGTTCTTCTTCACCACATTGCATTGGTTTATTTATTATCCAGTTAAGTCCTTAATATTGTAGAAATCTTATTATTGATTTAGATAAATATGTACCATATATAATAATAACTTAGTTAATTATTTATTTCCAACTCTGATAGTTTACAGATGGTGAATCAGACAACATTGCATCCTCTGACCATGCTGTACAAATTCATAGGGATAGTGTGGTGAGCAATTGCATGATTGATATAGGTCTGCTGTGTTCTAATTTCATCAATTCATAACCTGTGAAATTTTACAGATCCTAATCATGATATGTATAATAAATATTCCTATATACTCTATATTGAATATACATATTAAAGTATTTCATCACCTTTCAAGATAGAATTGCACTATTTTTAAAATACTCTTATTTCTTATCCTTGTTGTTAGTTGTGAAGACATGTCCGACTCATCGCGACCCCATGGGCAACATTCCTCCAGACCTTCATGTCCTCTACCATCCTCTGGAGTCCATTTAAGCTCATGCCTACTGTTTCGGTGACTGCATCCAGCCACTTCATTCTCTGTCATCCCCTTCTTTTGCCATCACTTTCCCAGCATTATGCTCTTCTCTAGTGAGTCCTTCCTTCTCATTAGGTGGCCAAAGTATTTAAGTTTCATCTTCAGGATCTGACCTTCTAAGAGCAATCAGAGTTGATCTCCTCTAGGACTGACTGGTTTGATCGCCTTGCAGACCAAGGGACTCGTAGGATTCTTCTCCAGCACCGTAGTTCAAAGGCCTCAATTCATTGGCGCTCAGCCTTTCTTATGGTCCAACTTTCACCACCATACATTGCAAATGGAAAAACCATAGCCTTGACTATACGTACTTTTGTTGGCAGGGTGAAGTCCCTGCTTTTTAGTATGTTGTCTAGATTTGCCATAGTTTTCCTCCCCAGGAGCATCTTTTAATTTCTTGGCTGCATCATCTACGGTGATCTTGGAGCCCAGGAAAATAACATCTATCACCACCTCCATTTCTTCCCTATCTATTTGTCAGGAATTGAGAAGGCCGGATGCCATCATCTTAGTTTTCTTAATGTTGAGTTTCAAGCCAACTTTTGCACTCTCCTTCTTTACCCTCATTAAGAGGGTCTTTAGTTCCTCTTCACTTTCTGCCATTAGAGTGGTATCATCTGCATATCTGAGGTTGTTGTTGATATATGTATTGTTGATTGTTGATATTTCTCCTGGCAATCTTAATTCCAACTTTTGATTCATCTAGCCCCGCCTTTCTCATGATGTGCTCTGCATAAGTTTAATAGCAGGGTGACAGTATACAGCCTTGCTGGACTCTTTCCCCAATTTTGAACCAATCAATGGTTCTGGGTCCAGTTCTCATTGTTGCTTATCCTTAATATGTTTACTAAATTATCTCCCAGTTTATGTCCTAACTTAATGTAGACAATGTATTATTTTGTGTTTAAAATGAGAAGAATTAATTGCATATATATAATAAATGTATGTACATAAATATATTAATATGCTTCTGAAAGGATAAAACAGGTTCCTTTTCCAGTAAATGAAATAGATTCTTGGTTCCTTTAGAATTAACAGTTATACTGTTATAACTATAGTATTTTCAAATACTAAAAAAATCTTCCTTTTCATATTAAAGTACAAGCAATCATATCCAAATTCATTTATATAGATTATGCATTAACATTTATATATTTCTAAACAACGTTCCTAATACCTAATTTGCAATGCATTTTAGATTTATTATCCAATAAACTAATAAATTTAGAATAGACTTTAGAAGGAATAAGAGGCTTAAAAGCCTTCAATGTTAGATAAACTCACTGTAGTTGAATTCCAAATCTAATAATGACTACAAAGAAATTCTACGTCTTACTAAATTGACTTTTTAAAAAATGTCTCTCCATTTATTTCACTTTCAAGTAGTTTCACTAAGTCTTATATGCCTTATTTTTTCAGAATATAAGACGCCCAGAGTATAAGACACACCAAGATTTTGAAGAGGCAAATTTAAAAAAAAGTTTTTGCACTCTGCAGACCTCCCAAAACCGGCCAGTTTTTCATAAAAAAAGGGACATGAATAGCCTTTCGGAGGCTTGTAGAATGCTCCTGCGGGGTAGCCCTCCCAAAATGAGCAAAAAATGGCCTGGTTTTTTTTGCAAAAACGGGCCCATTTTTTTTTCAAAAAAAAAAAAAGAGCATGCATAGCCTTTAGGAGGCTTATAGAGTGATCCTTGGGGCTGTGAGGGGCAACATTGAGCAAAAAATGGCCTGCTTTTCGCTCATTTCTGCCCTCCCCAGCACTCAGGAGCATTCTGAAAGCCTCCTAAAGGCTATGCATGGCCATTTTGGGGAAGGGGTGGGGTTTTGGGAGGCAAAAAATGCTGTATTCCGTGTATAAGATGCATCCAGATTTTCAGCTTCTTTTTTGAGGGAAAAAGGTGCGACTTATAGTCCAAAAAATACAGTAATTCATCTAAATGTCTCATAAATTTTTTTAAAAAATTGTGAATTAAATAAAGGAAACTATATTTTTAATGATGAATAATTTCTTTTTAATTATTGAATTACTCGATAACGTCAACACTTTTTATACCTATATGTCAGGCTAAACCAGGGGTCTGCAACCTTAAACACTCAAAGAGTCATTTGGACCTGTTTCCCACAGAAAAGAAAACACTGGGAGCCACAAAACCTGGGTGGGCGTGGCCACCTCGACATCACTCCCACCCAGTCACATGACCCCCCCCAGCCACGCCTACCCAGGTTTCATAGCTCTAGATGTTTTCTGTGGGAAATGGGTCTCTCTCTCTCTCTCCTTCCCTCCCTCCCTTCCCTTTCCCTCTTTTTCTTTCTTTCTCACTGAATACGATAGCAAATCCAAAATAAAGTTATTAGTTTTTTTCTGAGTATAAGATACACCTTTCCCCCCACTAAAAAGCGTGTAAATGTTCGTTGGTCTTATAGATCGAATACAGCCATTTTGCGCCTCCCGAAGTCCCGCCTCCACATCCCATTTTTTGAAAAATGGGCAAAAACAGGCCATTTTTCACCAAAAGGGGGGGTTTGCCTTCCCCCACCCCCAGAAGCACTCTGCAGGCTTCAGGAGGGCTGGGGGAAGGGAGAAATGCCCCCCATTTTGGTGGAAAAACAGGGAGGTTTTTGCCTTACCCCAGCCCTGCTGAAGCCTGCAGAGTGCTCTTGGGGGCCGGGAAGGACAAAAACTTTTTTTTTCTTACTTCAATATCTTGGTGCGTCTTATACACTGGTGCATCTTATAGTACGAAAAATATGGTAATTGTGGGAAATTGCTTCTCTGTAATATTTTCATAGTGAATTCTAAGTTGATAGAAGCTGGCAAGATTGTACTAATAGCAATAGCATATATATTTTGATTTCTTTTGAGTTTGACAATATACTATATTATTCAAAATTATAAATAATCTTATTTTCAGATGCATTTTTTGCCCTCTCTGTTATTGCCTTTAAAAAAAAACAACAGACTTGCTTACAATTTGTGCCTTCTGGCAAACTGCAGTTTTCTTGGCAAGAGATCTAGCTTGCCATTGTTTTCATCATAGGTCTGAGAGACTTCTTTCTTTTTTTCTTTTTTCTTTTTTCTTTTTTCTTTTTTCTTTCTTTCTTTCTTTCTTTCTTTCTTTCTTTCTTTC